AACTTTGGTGAAAAACCACACAACCTATTGATTAATACTTTAGACTTTTTTTATCAAGTCAAAGCTCTTTTAGTGTAATGGCTTCAGCTGGAGCTTCTCGTGTCAGATCTTGACTGGTTTTTCTCAAGTAAAGGTCAGAATAACTGCAGTAATATCTCCAGATGAACTCTTACTGGACTGAAGCAGCTCAGCTTTACTTGATTCTCCATCAATCATGTTTTAGAGTCTCAAATCTGATCCTCAGGATCTTTTGAGGAGCGTTTGTTTCCAGAAGCTTTACTTTCACTGTTCCTCAGCGGAGGAATGATCTTCACAAGCCTCCAGAACATCTCACATCTTCTGAGGAGCCTTTATTTCTTCAGCTCTCAATCACTGCATTATATGTTTGGAGCATTTCACTCTCATCTTACTGAGACATGTTACTGCAGATATAGAGCGACCACTGATATTTAGATCATTTTATGTCAGTATCTGCTTCACTGTTATAAAGATCTCACTGATTTACAGAAAAGCCTGACGGATCAGATATGCTGCATGTGTTGCATGTAGGGCTGGGCGATATGGCCAAAAAAATTATCATGATAATTTTTTTCATATCAGTCGATATCGATAATTATCACGATAAATGTCAAATTTGTATTTTTTTTAAGGTTTAAAGGCAGATTTTTCTCCAAATTTAAAGTTGTAGAAACCAGATAGTTACTTGTGGTTTTAAACTACTCTTTATGGTCAGAACATGACAAGCACTTCATGTTTTTGAATTCTTTACACTTTTCCTTAACAAAATAAATATCTTAATAGAAAATTTGATTTCTTAGTTTCTGCATGTTCTAATGAGTAATATTGTTTCAAATTAATAAACAGGTTTGTGTTGCCTGTATTGTATGAAAACCAGTATTCTAAATCGCCTACAGTTAGTATAAATGCACAAACGCTATAGCTTAATCACAGAAAATACTGTAATGATATTCTATTACTCCTTTAATACATTTAATACATGTCTACATTAGTAATATAATAAAATTCGATACGAATTCCAATGTTTCTGACACAATACCATGGTGCTTTTAGTGTTATTACAGTAAATGATGGTCGATTTGTAGATTGAAAAGCCTTCACACAGTGTTTCTCCTGTTTGTCAGCGCTGTTTCATCTTCCTTTAAACTCGTTTAAATCAGCAATTCATTTGTGTTGTTCGCTGAATTCAAGTGCTTCACACTGGATCTCACAGCGCTGTTTAGTGTTTGCGTAAACGCATCTGCTCTGGTGAGCTCGCGCTGTGCTGCTGTTCTTCTTCTTTCGTTTATTGGCGGATCGCGCCAGTTCTTGCGTTGCGCTGCTGTTTGAGTCGTGCGGATAAACGGTCCAAATAAGTTGCGCTGTTTCGTTCCGCTTTTGGCGCATAATCATTATATCGAACATTTATCGAACTCTTCATATCGTTTTATCGAGAATAATTATATCGTGATAATTATCGTTATCGATTTATCGCCCAGCCCTAGTTGCATGTATTTATGTCTCTCTCTGTGTCTCTCTCTCTCTCTCTCTCTCTCTCTCTCTCGCTCTCAGAACGGAGGTCGTGTTTGGCCGGCGGAGTGGTTGAAGTCTCGTGTGGCGAGTTGCTCTGCGCCGCTGGACACTCGCTTCGGTAACGTGTCTCTGATTCCTCTGCGCGGCAGTGAGAACGAGATGAGGAATAGTGTCGCCGCTTTCACAGCCGATCCTCTCGCCGTGAGTCTAATCAGCCAATCACAACCGGGCTCGGCCAATCACACAGCCAATCACGCGGCTCTCTGCTCCCAAACACACTGAGCTCAGCGTCCAGTTTAATGCATCAGAGAGGCACAGAGTTACATAAGTCATTATTTCATGTTCTTTTTATTTTTATTCCAGCATCAAAGTGTTAAAACTGTGTGTGTGTGTGTGTATATATATATATATATATATATACACACACACACAGACAATATTTCTGCTCATTCTCAATTCTGGTTTTTAAAATCTATTAAAAGAGCTGGTCAGTGTTTCATGTTATACCCAAATAAATAAGTATTTATATAATGCTCAAAATATATTTTATAAACAAAAAAAACAACAACAACAAAAAAAAAAAAAATGTTTTTAATTAAAAATGTTTTTTTTTTGTATAACTTTAACCATGAAACATTGAGTAACAGCCATAAACACGGTAAACTTTAAAAAGCTGGTCAGTGTTTCATGTCTAAAGTTAAACACAAATAAATTTAGATAATATTCATAAAATATGTATTTATTTACTTTACATTTTTTATTTATATTTTAATATTTTTCCTTTATAACTTTAACCATGAAACATTGCGTAAACTTCAAAAAGAGCTGGTCACAGAGAAAGCAATCCCAGCATGCATTGCAGTGTGGAAAAATGTATCCAAGATGGCAGATATTGATCATAAATGTGCTTAAATTTAATTTGACACCAAACAGTACTGTTAAAATAGTGCAGAGTAGTTCAGATGAACTATGTAGACTTGTGAGGTTCGGTGACAGCGAGGAGCTCTCTAGGTTTCGGAACAGAGCTAAAGCAGACATTTAAATAAAACATGATATAATTCATCTGCATATGAGAGTATTGATGATGCTGTGTGATTACCCATGAGCCCTCACTGTTCTGATTTACTGAGACGCTTCATGTTCGGCTCACAGTGTGTGATGAATCAGGAGTGAATCATGTGAATCAGGAGTGAATCAGGAGTGAATCACGTGGGCCGCACATGAAGCGTACTGTACTAATGCTTTATTACTGGAGGATGTGGAGTGTGTTTAACAGATGTGTGTGTGTTTTACCGTTTACTGTCTTCACACATACAGTCCAACCTGTGGATATCTGATTAACAGTAAAGTTCAGAAACTATAAATCATGTGCAAACAAATAAAAAAAATAACTGGTGTCGTGTCTGTGAGGAGCAGGTGTTGGGTTATTGCTCATATCATTCATTATTGGGTGATTTCCTCTAACCCTTTTACCCATAATTCTGCAGGACTGTCCTGTTTATGCATTATATAAGTGACAGTGTGTGTATTTATGACAACATGAATTCAACAAGAAAGTGAAGTACCTTGGGATGTTTTCTAATGTCTTCTGTCACATCATTCTGAACAAAGAGGATTAAACATTGTTAAACAGTGTTAGATTCAATAATGTTGTTATCTTGTTGTCTTCTAATAGTGTTGTCTTGTGTGTGTGTGTGTGCGCGTGTATATATATATGTGTGTGTGCGTGTATATATGCGTGTGTGTGTGTGTGTGTGTATATATATATATGTGTGTGTGTATATATTGTGTGTGTGTGTGTGTGTGTGTATATATATATATATATATATATATATATAGTTTTCTTTTTAATATACATAGAATTATTAAAAGGAAAAAAATATTTTGTTTTTAAAATAAATATTACAGTTAAGTATTACAAATATTGCAAATAAATTAACAAATATTTTAAAATGCACTTTCTAATTTATTTATTTTTTTTTACATTTTATTGATTTAATTAATTAATTTTTATTTTTATTATTATTTTTAATTGAGTGGCTGTTGGTCTCTGAGCCCACGACAGAGACTTTTCAATCCTATAATTCTATTGAGGTCAGTTTTTTGAGTGACTCTGGCAGGTTTTGATTGAATGAATGCTTTGTTTTCTGCAGCTCTTCAGAAATGTTTGACGGAGTGAACGGTGTTCAGGTGAGACGTCCAGCTTCTGCTCTTCAGACCAACACAACAACAACAAAATCATCTCAAATATATCATCAATGTTTGATAAATCACTGTTTGTTGTTTAAAGTCATGTAAATATTGAAATGCAGTGGTACCCTGTCTATATATATATATATATATATGTATATGTATGTGGGTCAAAGACGAAAAAGGGTTTAAGCATAAAAACAATAAGTGTAATACTGCTTTAAATTGTTGTTGTTTTTCCCCCCAAAAAATGAAAAAGTTTTTTTGTTTAATTTAATTGCAATTTTGTTTTTGTTTTTCTGAGCAATAATAATAAAAAAAATAATAAAAGCAAATTTACAGAAGAGACTAGAGCCCGACCGATATGGGTTTTTCTGGGCCGATACCGATATTAGGGAGTAAAAAAAGGCCGATATCGATATATCGGCCGATATTCTTTGTGTATATTATAGTACAGTACCAGTCAAAAGTTTGGACACTTTCCCATTCGAGGGTCCAAACATTTGACTGGTACTATATATAGAATGCAGTACATAAACAGAATATATATACATAAACACATTTTTTGCAATGATCACTCAAATGTGGTGATCAAACACTTAAAATGGACAGAGATATAAAAGGGCATTTAACAATT